AAAAAAATTCACTGGCAATCTCCTCCGGTAATCCGAAAGGCTTAGGTCCATCAGTAGCTGCCTTAGAGGTCATGTCCTGTACGTCTCGATAAGAAACGACAAATTCCAAGCATTTATTGTTGTCTAAAGAATAGTTTGGGATATGCCAACACCCCATGCGTGCTTTTGTGTCGCTATTTTTCAGAGTGAGCCATGGTGTGTGCAAGTCACTCTGTTCGGTCTTTTCCTCATTTGACATGATCAAGAAATGAAAAGACTTCAAAAATTAATAGAGGGGGTTTCGTCGGGTGAAAATTCTATAGAAGAAGAATTAGAAGATTCAGATAATGAAGATATATTTAGTGATCATGAGTCTGAATCAGAAGAAAAGTGCGACTCTTCAGAAGACATTTCTTGTGATCAAACTATTTTATAAGAAAGGATCAAAATTACCTCCAATAAGAGATTTATTAAGACACAATAACACGCCAAATAAATACTAATTCAGATACTAATACTAAAAAATAAAATATAATAATACTTAAAAAAAAAATATATATATATATATATATATATTCTTATCTCAACACACTAAAAGGCACACTCTTGTTTTAGGAGATTATAAAAATTCTGTTGACATTCCCTTCTTTCCATCAATTAGCTATAAAGTTGCACATATTTTGCAGAAATTTAACTTTCGGTTTGTTTATTCTCCCATCAATAAATTTCCGAGTTCCATACTCAAGGACCCCATTCCGGATATGAATTCCTGGGGTATTTATAGGATTCCTTGCCAGTGTGATTTAATTTACATTGGCCAAACTAAAATTTCGCATCAAGGAACATGAGGCATATGTTAGAAAAAAGGAAACACAGAAGTCTTCTGTTGCTCAACATTGTTGGTCCGAAAACCCACACTTTCAGTTTTCTGCTGCCAAAATTATTCAAAAACATCTTCCATTGGAGAACTGGATTTTCTAGAGCATTTCACATCATAAAAAATCTTTCTGTTCTAGTTAACGATCCTAATTCCAATCCAAATTTGCCTTCGGCCTTTAAAGAAATTATGTTTTAGTTCTGGTTTCACCAACAGATGCCGCCACTTGCTTATTCTTGTCCAGGCTTTCTTATCTTATCTAATCATTATTTCCTATCTTGTTCATTTGCGGTTTTGCAGCTGAAGATGGTGGTTCGGTAAAACCATCGAAACTGGTCCTGTGAAAATTTTGTAAATATAACGCTGATTTTTGTTGTTTGACTTCTGAATAAGAGATTTATTATTTAAAAATTTTTTCAAGACTTGACAGAAATTATATCATGTAGGGAAATACGCGGCTTAGAACGAAAAGCTAGAAGCTTTTCGTGGGGGATGCTCCTTTCGGCAGTATATACCTAAGAAACCTGCAAGATATGGTAGAAAGGTATTTGCTGTGGTTGAGTCTAGAACCTTCTATGCTTTCAACATGGAAATTTACACATGTCAGCAGCCAGATGGGCAGTTCTAGTGAAATAGCAAAGCGCATCCTAGCTCCATTATACAAATCTGGAAGAAATTTTACCACAGGCAATTGGTATACCAGTTATGAATTGGCCAATTTCTTACAGAAAATAAGTTGATAAACCCAAGAAAAAAAAAAAAAAAAAAACTATATGTGTGAAGTGTAAAAACCATATGTCAAGAGCACTGTGAAATGGATGCTTCATGTATATATTACAAAATATCTAATGCTTCTTAGGCCTAATTGATTTCAATATTAATTATATAACTCATTGTTCGTGCAATAATTCTGCATAATTTGGATTATAATTGCATTCACAAATAAAAAACATTTCTCATTGAAATCAATGATTCCTAGACATCTGAAAAAAAAAAAAAAAAATATCTATTTGTTATTAATTTTAAAGTTAGCATTATTTTAAGCTATTTTAAATAATAAATGTTGCAATTAGTATAGAATGCATTCTTTTACTGAATTGTAATAGTATGTTTAATTTGTACGTCATTTAATTGCTTGGGGTGTGTTGACACCCCATGCAGGTTCTCGTGTTACATAACACAGCGCGCATCCTCCCGTGTTAAACTAACTATTGCCAGGAAGCTGTATGAGTCAGGCTAATTTTGGTGGTGATCTGATTCATTAGACACCAAATAGAGATAAATTTGGATCTCTATATATATTTCAAAATTAGTTACAGTACAAAGTCCGAAATCCAGAATGATCTAAAATCCAGACCTCAAAGCCACCAACTTTTTTAAAGAAATTGTTTATTTATTATTTATTATTTGTGTGTGTGTTCGCTTTACGCATGCACGTTTGTTCCCCCCTCCCCCAGCGCATAATAAAACGTGGAGTGTCCTAATTCGTAATTTCACTTCAGCATTAAATAAAATACCTTGTTATTGAAGAAACAATCATTTTAGCATAAATTCTTATGATCAATAATTTGGCTTTGTAGCTGTGTCTGCTTGGCATACTACATCTCAAATCAAAACATTCTACATAGAAACATCCTTAATTTTACATCTACTAATATTTTATATCCCTGATGCCAACCTGGCGAATCATTATTTATTATATTTTGCTTTAGTATTGATTCACGTAACAATGCCTAAACAATTTTTTGTATTAGTAATTGTAATTAGTAATTGAATAACAAAGAGTATGGGGTAACCTTTTATGTTGACATTACGCTTGGCAATGATTACAGACTTAAGTTAAATGCATTGAGATATGTTGACAGAAAAAATTTAACACAAATATCTTTCCATATGCTAAAAATAGGTTTTGTTAATGATACTCACAGACCAAATGAATATATTTAGTGCTATTTGAATTAAGAATAACTGGTTTGTTATTCGCATAAACCCAGCACTAGAGCTCATATGGCTGCATCGAGCAGAAGAGTTTAGGGAAGACAAAAGGAGGTGCTTGGTAGCAGAATTTAGGATCCGCAGAGACTGCATCAGGCATTAAGATTTCTAGTGCCTGCCCTCAATAGGCGTTAAGTATATGTGGGAATTTATTTATTCAGGTCTCGGATAATCCTTAAGCATGTACAGGGAATAGGTGTAAGTATAATAAATAACTAATACAATTCAGGCTTAATTGTCTCAGTGCCTGATAGAAGCAAGATAAAATGTAGCGAAACAATTTGTCAGTAGTCACCAATTTCGTGATACATAGCCATATATGTATAGTGAATGATAGCTAAATTTTATGGTGATAGCCATGAATCTGAAGGTTTTTGAATATTGAAAACCAAAGGGGAAATTTTCTAATTAATGGATTTTCTAAAGAAATATGGAGAAGCGGTAATGATGAAGATGATATAAAAGGAATTTTTCATTATGATGACAATGCTTCTCAGTAATCAGTCAATTAACTGTTTGCCTAATCTGTAGTATGGTTTTAGATCCAGAAAATACCACTACCGATAGTGAAGAAAGTGACAGAGTGGTTACTAAAAACAAAAAATTTTATTGACAAGTTAGTCAGAATCCTAGACACGGCAATTACAGGACTTCAGCAATGTAACTTTGTAACTGAACAAGAAATTATGTCTGTCTATAGAAAGTAAACACAAAAAAACGAAGCAACTTGAATAACTTAAAAGAAATGTTTAATAAAGTAGACAAATATTCAGCTTTTTTTCCCTAAATTTTGATACCCTTTAGATCATAAATGCATCATTATTTCATAAATTATGATATCATATTTTTAATTTTATTATTCCTACATGCCATCTTACTAGATTTAAGCTGATGATCTAATATCCGTAAAAATCCGGAATCGCACAACTCTCAACGAGTCCAGATTTCGGACTTTGTACTGTACTAAATAAATTTTCCTTCTATTTTTGTGAAGCAAACTGCAAGTAATTATCAATTTTATTATAGTAGTCAGTTTAGTCTGCCGTATCTGGTTCTGCCAGAATGCGGCTGATGTTGATGTTCCTTCATAAAGAAAAATACGTTGTAAATTAATGATTTTTGAAACTAATTTCTCCCATTCTTTGTCTGTCTGCTCTTTTTAATGTTGCACATATTCTCTTTGTTGACATGTAATTTTACTGTATGAGAATTACTGCATTCTCAGCTGAGTGACAATTCTGTGTGAATTTTGAAACTTTTTTTTTATTTCTTTTCAAATGTCAGGCACCTCTTTGAATGGTAACAATTGTTGAACAAAGTTAACAGAACAATTTTTGAACATGTGGATAACACGGGTTAAGTACAGACATTAATTTGCAATTTGTTGTCATATTGTGGTACTATCTGATACTTCCAGTAGTGTTTAATATGCAAGTGTTTTTTATAATTTGCGCACACTTTAGAAATAATTGTCATTTAAATATAGTTTACATATTCCGGTAAACACTAGGCTGCTATTTGGATGTTAAAAGGAGTTCTTATTGTTATGCTTCATATGTTGAAGTAGAATATATTGGTCTTGGTTAAATCATGAAATGTATTTTATATGTTTGCAATTAAAAAAATTTCTGCTGCTATGCTAAGAGAGGCTTTTACAATATTGAATATGAGTAAAATTAGCCTTTAAACATGTTAAGTTTGTAACTGACTTCAAGTTTGAATATTTGAATGTTAGCACAGATGCCAACTTTCTTGATTTTATCTGAAGATATCTGCATTTTTGTCATTTTTCCCAGATCACAGTATTGCCGTGTTTCTAACTTTTAGCCTGAACTAAGGAAAATATTCCCAGCAATAAGTGAAATATATTGAATTAATTAATAAAACTTAAAACTGTGCAATTCCCTCATCCCTAGTGATATTATAAAGTGAATGTATTATAGTTCTTTTGAAATGGGGCTGCTATGTTGCATAAAAATATATCTGAAACTCCCTGGTTTTACATTTCAAGGATGACAATGATAAGTTTATGAAAATTGTTTTTTAACACAATCTTAATGAAGTCGTAACCGAAGTCAGTATATGCCTAGAAAACCAATGCTGATGTTACATGTATCTGCTTGGATATTATAATGCATTTTTATTTTAGTCTGAAGACTCTATCATAGATGTAATTCAAGAAATGGGATATAATTTCACATCAAGGTAAAGTTTTAATTTTTATTTTGTTTTACTTTTAATTTATTGTATTCAAATTAAAATATTAAATTATTTGATATTTATCTTCTGTGTCATTTAAAGTTTTAACCATTTTAATATTATTTTTATAAATTATAACTGTTTTTTAAATATTCGACTTTCTGTTTATTGCATAAAACATATAGTATGGAAGAATGCCGAAACAATATGATACAAATTGGGCTCAGAGAAATTACTGCTGCAGTTGTTGCACGAATACTTTCCATGATGGCGAGGTCACATTCTGGTTTAACAGATGCCATGCCAATTCAGGTGTGTTTAAATATTTTTTTACTTAAATTAAACCTAATTAGATATGTCAGAATACAAGCGATCATTATCTGTATATTAATTCTTTAATTTATAAATTTATTGTCTATTTTTGTAATGTTTGCTTGTATACATATATTGGTCTTATTTGTTAAGGTTTTTTTATATTTTGATAAAAGTAAATGAATAAGTCTGTTGATATGCTATTTCAATGATTTTTTAAATTTATTATATAACTTATTACAAAGCAAATAAATTAACAAGAGCTGAAAGCTGGGTGACTATATCGTAAGCTTCTGTTATAATAAATCAACAACTAGAATTCGCAGAATTTGCTTAGAAAATTTTTTCAGCATAATTTAATGGTTGGAAATGTAGGATGTTTATATTAAAAATATTTTTTCTTATTTGAAAACTGATAATTTAAAATTTTTTAATTTTCCTAAACACTTCTCTCTTTTAATAATATAAAAGGTAACTTACATTTTGATGTAATCAGTAATAGGCAAGTAATATGTCTTAATATTTTGGAGACATTTTTTCTTGACAGGTGTTAATTTGATCTCATTTTTTATAGTAAAGCAAGTAATTATTGTTTATGGAAAAATACACAAAATTACATTTTGGGTCTTGAATAATTTTGTCAGTGTTACTTTTCTAGTAGTTCTTTTCTTATATCTTTAAAACTGAAAAAACCAGCATATTAACACATTGGCGATCCGAAAAGGGAATTCTCATTTTTAGTCAGTAGTGGGTTTAGGAATTTTTTAAATAGGTTCACTTAGAGTAATATACACAGTCCAGTCACATTAATCTGACCACCTGTCAAAAACCAGAATAACCACCTTTCACAGAGCGTACCGCTGTGAAAGATGGTTCTGCTGAAGGAAGAGAGTCAATTGGGTTCTTGAAGGTTTTCACTGGGATGTTGAGCCATGCCGACTTCAATGCAGTGGAGGATCCATGGTGTGAACCACTTATTTGAGGTGGTCTTACAGATTCTTGATTGAGTTCAAGTCCGGGGAATTTGCTGCTCGGAGGAGTACGGTAAACTCATCTTGGTGCTCTTCAAACCATGCAGATACACTGCGACCTGTATGACATTTTGCATTGTCCTGCTGGTATTTGCCATCATTCTGAGGGAAAATAATTCGCATCTAGGGGTGGACATGATCCTCAAGGACAGTGTCCATCGTGCCTTCCACAATGATGAGTGCACCTATCGAATGCCACAAAAACATTCCTCAGACCACAGTGCTTCCCTCTCCAGTTTGGACGTTTCCAGCAGTTATTGCAGGGTGTTTGCTTTCCGACATTTCATGCTGTATATGCCAACATCAGGTGCTTTAACCAGGCGTCTGCTGTGGATGCACACAACAACATTTGCTGAGCCATCATTGAGGAGACACCATTGGTAGTCTCTTGGTTCATCTAGAGGGGTCAGTTGCTCAGCGGTTGTACGTCTATTTGCACGAAAGCCTCTCCACAACCGTTATTGACCTGTTGTCAATGGCCCGCAGTGCACTACATTTACCACGTTGTTGATTTTGGATAGTGCCATTTTGCCATGCACGGTATACTTTTAACACAGTGGCAAGCAAAGGGTTTACAAAATTAGCAGTTTTGAAAATGCTCTCACCCTTTGCTCGAAAGCCAGTGATCATGCCTGTTTGGGCATCAGATAAATTGCTCTGCTTCTGTGTTATGCCAACGATTGCAATGTTTTCTGATTCTCTCGGACATCCTTTATATACGCTCCATTGCAATGTGCTGCCACCTGCTTTCTGGGATTGGTTATTTCGCGTTGACATCGAAAGTTGTTAATGGTCACATTAATATGACTGGACTGTGTATGTTGCTTTCAATACCAGTGTTCTGTTTCTAGACATCCATAAGTCTTCCTTCTATACGAAAATCTGCCAATTTCTGTGTGAGCTTATTTTCATTAGAAAGTACTATAAATGCTAAGAATAAGATAGGAATTAAAAGGTTGAAAACGTTTGATATGCCATTATCAAAATGAAGGCCTTGGCATTGTCTTGAAGGAAGACAGTTTTTTTTTTCTAGTTTGCTGTTTTGGTTATCCCATTTTTTTTTTTACAAATTGTATTCTTCAGATAATCCAACTGTTAAATAATGAAATCTTGTTATAATGAACTTGACTTACAACAAACCCCCTGATTTAGTGAATGAACTATTGTTCTGGCCAATTTCCACTTAATTTATATTGCTATAGCTAGGCTTACTAAATGTCTCACTTTGACAGAGACTGCTCTGGTTTGTTGATGTGGTCCATGCATCCTAACCAGTTTGTCGTTTTGTCCTAGTTGTTTGTTAAAATTTTAAAAGGGCTGAAAATGTAAGAAATAAAAAACAATGCAGCCTTGGCTAAAATGCAGATTTGCCAAATAAATTATCCCTTCTGTTACACTCTTTGTTGCCGGTCTGAATGCTTTTAATCTTGTCTAAACCAGCAGGTGGCAAACTTTAATATACTGCAGACCACTAAATGTGCAATTTAAAATTTTGCAGACCGCTAACATAATTTTCACATCTATGCTCTAAATGTTTTCTGCTCATATGATGCAGATGTCTTTCGTACATTTAATTTTGGGAAAAGGATTTTGATGGAGCAGAGTATTTTATTTCGATTAACAACAATGAATTAACATGGTCTGATATTGAAGCTTCAGGAGAAAAAATTAGTGAAACTGTTGCAAGTAATACAATAAATGCGAGTGAACCTTTTGATGAAATAGTGATCACAAAAGGATTTTGCTCAGTTGGCTATAAAATCTAGAAAAATAATGGTTGTGAAGAAAAGTAGATAGAATTTTTCAGTCATTTAAAATTAAAAAGCATTCATTGCTCAATCTTGCTCATATAATAGAATTCACTTTCAGCATGCCAGGAGCACTGGCACCAGTCAAAAGTACATTCTCAGCAATGAATATAATATGGTCTGAAGAAAGAGGTGGAATGGTTGCATCAAGTGTAAAAGCTTTAGAAAGCTGCAAAATTAACTGCACACTAAATTACAGTGAATTTTTCAGTGCTATTAAATGTAACAGAATTTTTAAAGAAAGTCCACATTAATGAATAACAAGATAGGTTCACTTGAATTTTAAAAATTTCTTTTAACTAACTGTAGTTTATTAACTTCTTTATTTAGGTTTTCAGTAATGGGTATTTATCCTCATAGATTTTATTCTATGTTGTGAATATTTTCTCAGAATTATCCTAGTGGGAGCAAAAAATGTTATGGTAAGCCTAGCTCTATCAATCTCCCAAACACATGAAAAGCAGATATTTTTGTATATTTTCCAAAATTTCTGCATTTTTTAATAAAGTTACTGAACATTAAAATCATTCATGGTTAGGATTTTAATATGTACATTCTATCTGTAAAGGAAAACATCTTTACATGACATTGCTTTATGTTCAGCCTCACTGTTCTCTGTGTGTCGTTTTCTTTCATTCAATTACAGAGTTGCAAACTGTCCCGATTTAGGCAGGAGACTCCTGATTTTCGACCTTCTCTCTCACCAACCCGATTTACAATATATTTCTCACGCTTTTTATGGAACTTGGCTTAGTACTTCGTTATATGAACAAAACAAAAACAAAAAAAAGGTGATTTTGGACGTCTGAAAGCAATTGAATTTTCTTTAGATTATACCTAAAACAAAACATTGCGAATAAGATCACAATTTCTGCTTTGTGAGCGAGAGCATACGCATCCAGAAATGTCGTTCTCCAGTTCTCCAATGGGCATCGACCTCCACTGCATGTCATCTGGCATATATTAGCCAATGAGCACAAAGCAAGCTCAAGGCTGTTATTTGGATGTTCTTTAGTTACTTCGTTCATGCTGTCCTGAGTTGTGTGAGTACACGTGCCTTCAGGAAATAGTTTTAGAAATTATCATCTTTTGTTATGTCTGCGAGAAAGGTGAAATACTTGTGTACGTTTCAAAAATCGTACACAGTTGACTTTCCTCCCATTATTTACTCAAGGAAATGTAATAAATTTGCGATGTGTGCCGTTTGTCAGTGCAATTTTTCGATTTCGCATGGTGGAAGGGCGGATATTCTCAAACATGTGCATACACAAAAACACAAGGACAAAATGACTTGTTTTGAAAAAAAGAAAAATTAAATTTTTCTTGGGAAACAAAGGACCAAAAAGTTATTGATGCAGAATATCTGTTCTCTGCCTTTTTACTGGAGTGCAACCTGCCACTGAATGCACCGGATCACGCTGCAGCTTTATTTAGAAAAATGTTTCCCGTTAGCAAAATAGTTAAGAAATACTCATGTGCAAGGACCCAAACAGGTGCAATTGTTAAAGAAATCGGTTTGAAAAATAAATCTTCAGTTATTGATTGCATTAAAACAGCTCCGTTCTGCCTCTCTATGGAAGCAGGGTTTGTACGGTCTTTAAGAGTCCTTAAAACTCCTTACATTTTTTTAAATCGATTTTTGTCCTTAAAAGTCCTTAATTTTGGCCAAAATCAGTGGAAGTCTAATTTTAATCATCTGAAATTTCTGTCTGTTTTTACGACTGCCATTTTGAGTGTGAATTAGCATTTTGGAGGAATGTTTTTGGCGATTCACTGACGTATATGGTTATCTTTTGAGTGGGTTCATGGGTTATAATTTGTTCCTATTTCTAATGATGGGATACTCGAGTTTCTAAGCAAGAAGTGAAACATAAGCATTTCAAAATTATTTTTTTTCTAATAAAGAGCTCTTAAACAACTTTTCGCTTTTGGGGTTGTGAATTCTTTTATTAAATGGTTCTAAATTTGACATCTTGTCAACATTTTGGCGATTTTTAAGATCAGGTTCTATAGAAAATTTTTAATTCCAAGATCTGAGAATTTTTCGGCAATTTTTTTTAAGCATCATAACATTGTTCATAACTGTTCTTATTTGACATAACATTGATTATAAAATCACATGACATAAAATTTATCATAACATTGTTAAATTTCATTAAAA